CCCCAAAACCCCAAAACCCCAAAACCCCATCAATAAATTATCATGATTTATATGATTAAGTAGCAAAGTAATAAAAAATTAATCGAATTAAGAATAGTCAAAACATTAACCCCTTAAAAACAGAATGATAAATTAAACTTAAAAAAATAAACAAGAGTGAGCTATAAATGTCTGATATTCTTGTAATCAAGGCCAATGCAGCTAAATTTGCTGAAGAAGTTTAAAATCTCAATATCATGCAGCATCATTAATTACTTGCAAGATATGATCATTTCTCTTAGAGAAGGAAGATTCATCGAAGACAAAGAATAGCAGATTAAATACGAGACTTAGCAGTAACAAAAACATTAGTGAATTAAGAGAAGGATCTTTTTGAAGGAGCTGATAGTTGTCGAGTGGAAGAAATTATAATAGAATAGCTCGAGAAAAAATCTCAAAAATAATAGCACGTCAATGAAAAAAGCGCAGTTCATAGGTTAAAGTAATAAATGAATAAAAGAAAGATGCAAGATGCTAGAAGCTCATTAGGGAAATCTGATGTGGAGAGTAAAATTTCGGAGTTCGTGCCAATCGAGTCAACTCCTATTTTGGATTAACAGCAATTACTTCATCCGAATTAATAGCAAACGCCATAGTAATTTTTTGAGAAAAGACTGAGAAATATGTCTTAAATTACTTTTAGGTCTCCTTAGTTCATGACTCCTATTAGTGACGAAAAACTACAAATAGTCAAATTACAATCTCAAGTGAACTCAAGAGCTGCACCTATCTTAGAAATACTAAGAAACAAGCATCAAAATCTTTCGAACTCCTCATAGACATAGACTGCTCTACCATCTCCAACATTCAGACATAAAGCCAGCTCATTTGGAATATAAACAAGAGGCAGTTAGCATCGAATGGTTTTAGATTTGAGGGATACTAGCTTGTACAAAAACATAGATCAAATCAAGGGTCGCTTCTACATCGAAGATATGATTGAATAGTAAGGTAAACAAAAGATTAAAAGCTACATAGCTTTGTATCCCTCTAAGATTATGAGTGAAAAGGATAAAAACGAGATAGGATCAGAAGATATCCTAGAAAAAATGTAACATTAGCGAATCTCCAGCTGCTCCTCAGCCAGAATTAAGCCAATTAATTTCTAGAGCAGCAGTTTTCATAATAATAGAGTATAGTCTCAACCTTAAGACAATGGATTTCTATGTAATAATTTTTGATTTCTTTATTTTCAAAATTTAAGTAATTCACTTTCTAACTTGAGTCAATTCTTTTATGTAATTATATTCCTTGGGGTTTTGGGGTTTTGGGG